TGGATCCGGCCTCCAGCTGAAGAATGTTGGCAATTGGGAGTTCAAACGAGACGCAAATAGATCGATTTGCATCGGGCCCCAGAGCGTCTGAAGTCGTAAGAACACACTGTGGTCTAGCCGCCAGTCGCTGGTGTCTCGCAGATGTCTGGAGTACCAGTCCGCCACTATGTTGGACATGCCCGGGATGTATTCCGCTTGTACCGAAATATTGCGGGCCAGGCAATGTTGCCAGAAGTCTTTGGCCAAGTCCGCCAGGATCCTTGACTTTGTGCCACCGAGGTGGTTGATGTATCGGACTGCAGATATGTTGTCCATTCGTAGGACAATTGAGCAGTTGGTTGCGGCTCCGAGGAGGCTTCTCAGGGCGAATGACCCCGCCATGAGTTCCAGGCTGTTGATGTGTAACTCTTTCTCTGAGTGTGTCCAGATGCCTCCGGTGGAGGTAGGCCCGCAGCGCGCTCCCCAACCGTGTGTGCTCGCGTCGGACTCTATGATGAAGTCCGGGGCAGTTCCGAAGATAGCCCTGCCGTTCCATGCTTCCATATGATGCAGCCACCAGGTGAGTTCCTGTTTGGCCGCGTGGTCGAGTGGGACGGAGTCGGAGTATGAGTGCCCCGAGCGTAGATGTGAGGCTTTTAGCCTTTGCAGAGCCCTGTAATGTAGAGGCCCCGGGAAGATTGCCTGGATGGAGGCTGATAGGAGTCCAATTACCCTGGCTAGTTGTCGCAGAGTTAACACTGGTCTTGTCAGTGTCCTGCGGATCTCCTTTTTTATGCTCTTGACTTTTTCTGTTGGTAAACTGAGCGTCCCGGTCGTTGCATCTATGTGGAATCCCAGGAATTCCATGTGTTGGGATGGGGTAAGTACTGATTTTTCCCAATTGATGAGGAATCCCAAATTTCTTAACAGGGTCAGTGCCCAGGATAGATGCTGTCGGAGTTGGCAGGCCTCGTGCGCAATGAGCAGCATATCGTCCAGATATATGATCATTCGTATGCCTCTGCTGCGCAATAACGCGACCACTGGTTTTAGGAGCTTGGTGAAGCACCAAGGGGCTGATGAGAGTCCGAAGGGCAGGCATCGGAATCTCCATGTCGCTCCTTCCCATTGGAATTGGAGCAGGTGGCGACATTCTTCCGCTATAGGAATCGTGAGGTAGGCGTCCTGCAGGTCTAGTTTGACCATCCAGTCCCCCAATCTGAGCAGGTCTCGTAAGCAGTGGATACCTTCCATTTTGAAATTGCGGTATCGGACAAATACATTTAGGGGCCGCAAGTTGATGACTGGGCGGACTCCGCCTCCCTTCTTGGGTACCAGAAATAGATTGCTCATGAACCCCGGGAAGGGTGAGGGAACCTGAAATATTGCGCCTTTTTCTCGGAGTGAGAGGATCTCTTTGGTCACCAGGTCCTTGTCGTGTGAGGAGAATGCTATTCGGCGTGGCCAGGCTGTTTGGACAGGGGGTTGTACGAACTCTATGCGGTACCCTAAGACAGTATTTAGGACCCAAGAGTCTGTTGTCAAGTGTTGCCAGATCTCTATAAAGTGTAACAGTCTGCCCCCTACGCTGTGTATACTCGGGGAGGGGAAAGGTATTGCACTCACCATAAGGCCGTCGGCTGTATGAGGTGCCTCTGTTTCCTCGAGGTTGCCATGGTCTGCCTCTGACCGGAAAAAATGGCGAGAGTGCTCTGTTTTCTGGCGGCTGAAATCTAGCCGTAGCGGGACCTCGGTATCCCCGGTATGAACCGCGGGATGAACGGCCGGGCAGACGGCCCCGGTGTCTGCCGGCCCCCACCAAAAACTCTGGAGAGAACACTCTTTTTATGCTTGTCTGTGCCTTGTCTAGGGCCGTAAACGTGCTTACGTAAGTGCTTAACTCCTTAACAAAATTGTCCCCGAATAGGAGACCTTTGGCTTGTGGTTGCGGTTCGGTGAGGGCCATGTTTACGAGCTTGGGCTCGATTTTCATAAGGATGGTTTTGCGCCGCTCAGTGGCTAGCGCAGCATTAGCGTTGCCGATGAGGGAAATGGATCTCTGGGCCCAGCCTCTAATGGCTAGCAAATCTAACGGTGTCCCCTCAGTTAAGGCTGCTTCAACCAGTTCGAAGATTTTGGCACTAGGGCCGAGTGTATCGAGTATTTTGTCCTGGCAGTGGCGTAGGGAATAATCAAGTCCCTTCTTTGCCTTCCAGACAGTTTTTCCCAGGAACTGCGCTACCTTGGGATCTATATCCGGCGTGGCACAGGCCATGTCGGGGACCGATGGCCGTGGGCATTCTGCCCGCAGTTTGTTCCTGGTGGCCTTATCTAAAGGCTTACGGATTCTGGCTGCTATGTAGCGTGCCACATGCTCAGTTGGGAACCACTCCGCTGACCTAGGATTCTGTAATGTATCGGGATCGAACAGAGGTTCGCCCTGTGGATCCAAAATGGCGGACGAATCCGCGTTATCATACCTTAGGGTATTTGGATCTCGTGGCGGACTTTGGTCCGGGGAGGAGACCTCCCATTCGTTTGAGTCGATCTCGTCGGACTCGTTCAAAACCTCCTCACTATCCGAATCAGTGTCGGAAGAATCTGACAGGGCTTTTGCCCTCTTCCATGTCCGCGCTGCTTTTGCCCGGCGGGTGGCTCTCTTTCGTGGGGGCCCCACGACCTCAGCGGTGACAGGACGTACCCTGTCCGTCAATTCTTTTTTGGAGGTAGGAGTTTGCACGTGATGGGTTTTGCTTATGGCCTTCCGGCCTTCCCTGCGTACTGACCCGTCTGCCACGGCTCTAGCGCGGGGCAAATTGGTGGTGGATGCCTTAATAGCATTAGTGATGGAGTGAGAGAGGTTGTCGGACATAGCCCCCATAGCAGAATAAATCGCTTGGGTGACCGACCGTGACATGGTGGCGTCCAGGAGTGAGTGGAACTCCTCCGAGTCCAGCTGCTCCAGCCGAGCCACCGCATCCCCTTGGAGGGTTAGGGGTTCAGACATCTTGGCCCGGTGGTGGGCGTTGGTGTCCTCACCATCACTGGGGCCAGAGGCCGGGTGATCACTAGGGGCCTGCATAGTTAGATACTTAGTGGCAGGATAATGGGACTCACACAGTCTGTCAGTAAAAAATTTGGCTGCTAATTACACACTGCAGGGCAGGGTAGCGGTTAAACAGTGAGACAAGACAAAGACAGGACAAAAAAAAAAAGGCTGCACTGCTAGCTTACCGAGTGTTCCCTTAGGAATGCCCCCTGGGAGCACTGGTAAGCTGACAGGCAGACCTCTAAACCAATCAGCTCGCCCCCTCTTGCTGGGCTGAGCGAGCTGAGGGGAAAAAGAGCGTCAAAGTTATGTCTGCCGCCCCTTTAAGATGGCCGCCGCGTGTCGCGGCTGGAAATGCGCATGCGCGCGCGGCATTCACTCGCGGGCAATGGCGCCGGGGAAAAAACCCCGTCAGGGAACAGTTTGAACCGTTCCCAGGGGTTTCCCCGCGCCCAGCGCTCAAATGCCGCGGGTGGGAGGACGGGTAATAAACTACCCGATAGGGAGGTTAACAGTCGGTATACCCGCCCTGGGGGTCGGGGAACCGGCGGGGAAGCGTGGGAGAGGCTTCCCCACTGAGTGAACCCACAGGAGGGTTGAGAGTGGGAGAGAATAGAGCAGTCAGGAGATATACTGCAGCAACAATACACACCACAGAATCAACACAATCACAGAATCAAATCAAGCAATGCATATCAATAAATTAAGGTGTTACTTAGCTGAGGCAGCAGCAAAGAAAGAGGAAGAGGAGGAGGTTACATGAGAGGATATCAGAGGTGGACTGTTCCTATTGGTTAAGAGATAATGATGTAAGGTTAACCCTGTGAGGGTATTTATGCATGTTTTTTCTACAAATAAACACCTTAGCTTTCTTTGCTGCTGAGGAATAAAAGAAAGAGATAAGCCTAATAGGAGCCTCCGTGTCCTTTAATAAAATTTGTATTTATTTATTTTTTTATTTTTTTATAATATATGTATAGAAAATTCTAACTATATATGTGTGTAAAATTTATATCATTCTAAGTGTATTTTTATATTAATATATACGATAATACATATTAATATTAAAATACACTTAGAGACATTACACTTTTAAACGGTTTTAAAACTTTGTAAAACCCCTGCAGGCACTGCTTTGGACTGCTATTCCGTCCATGTGATCGCGACCTCATCGGGAGGGAGGGCCTGATCAGCCTCAGGGGAACCTCTCTCCATCCCTAGTAAAATACATTTTTCTAGTGCCAAGGCTCCCTCTGTGCTGCTTACGGTTCATCCTTCCGCGACGTCACAGAGGAGGCATTGCCTCCTCCATGAAGGTCCAATTGAATGCTCCTCATAGAAGAGCACTGGAGACCTGATGCACATGCATGGCAAGCTCCGCACACGCATCAAACCTTCCCCATGGGTGAATCAATGCGTTCCTATAGTATAGGGGTTCTCAACCCAGTCCTCAAGGACCCTCGAACTGTCCAGGATTTAGAGATTACCCTACTGTGTCTAATGTGTTTTTAGTGGGGCGGACAAAGACTTTAGACACAACAGGTTAATGCCTAAATCCTGGACTTGTAGGGGATCCTTGAGGACTGGGTTGAGAACCCCTGCTATAGAAGCTTCTGGGTCACAAGACCAAGTTTTACTTGGTCACTACTGCGGAATCGCCTCTAGTGGCTGTCGGTATGTCACTAGTTGTGGATTTAACCCTGTGATGTAAACATTACTGTTTCTAAAAAACTCCATGGTTTTACAATTTTACAAACCTACAGGACCATGTCATTCAGATAAAGTGGTTTTGAGTGACTTTAGTGGTCCTTTAATTGGAACAGGCGATCAAAACTTCCATTGGGAAAGCTGAAGTTTGCAACCCGATGGAAGGAACATCAAACTGTAGAGAAAGAGAGAAAATTTGAAAGTATCATTCATTATAGACAGGCAACACGACCCACATTTAAACATAATAAAATTAATAATAATCATCATTACAAGAAAAAGCAATGAATTGAGCAAAAACAAACAGTAAAAAAATTAATAAAAGCAACAATAAACCATGAATTGAGCAAGCAACTCATAAAACACAGAGTGAGAACTGCCATAAAAAAGATGGAGGGAAGGCAGTTACATTTTGTCCCCTATCTTCCTTAAAATTCTGATTATATTGTCACCAAGGATAAGATAATCTGCCATTTTAATGTATTTGAATGTAGTTTTTCTTTGCTTGTAAGGTGTCAGTAAAGAAAGAGTGATGCAAAATGCAATCCTCCTGTCTTGCATTACAATTTTCACAGTTTTTTCAGCATTCACAGGGTAGCTGTGGTATTTACACATTGCTTTCTGCATTCACACTGCATAAGGCATTTACACACTAATTATAGCATCTGCCTTTATATGCTATTGACACAATTCCTGGTTGTAATAGTCTAACACTGGGTAATAACTGGAGGACACAATAGTTTGAACAATGCATTTAATGGCTTTACTTTATCACTCTTGGCATAGGCTGTGACACTTGAGCCCACACAAAATGGAGTAAGTCTGGTTAATTAAAAAGATAATTTGGGCTAGGGGTAGGCAACCTGTTAGTAGTTCTGTGCCAAGACATGATCTTGAAGTCACCTTGGCGTGCTGGCCCTATTTTTTTTAAACTGAGGTTTGTATGTTGCCTTATCTGCTTGTGTTATTTATGGGTGCTGCGATTACTTTGTGTTGTATTGGTGTATATGTGGGCTGCTATTTTGTATATGTTTATAAGTAATTTGTGGTATTTTGTATACTATGAATGTTGGCTTTGTATGTGGGCTGCTTGTGGAATTAAGTGGATGATATGTCACATGGTAGGTTTGGTGGTGTGGACGTGTGGTATTGCATGTGAGAGGCTGTTTGAGGGGTTGTGTGTATGTATGTGGATTGTCAGTGGAGTTGTGTTTGTGTAGACTGTGTGTGGACTATTGGTATTATTTGTATGAAGGGCAGGCTTATTTGGCAGCTCTATGTATTTCTAGCAGTGTCGGTTGTATCCCTGGGATTCAGTGGGGACTGGGCACAGGTCTAGATATCTACTGTGGGCTGCTCTACTCCAGTGCGCATAACCATTCAGAAGTGCAGGGGGGGACATTTTCTGAGACCACTTCCTGTAAGTGCTGCAATGCGTAAATTGAGGATTGTCCCTCACCACCTGCAATCACTGCTTGGTTTGCTCTAGCAGATATCTGAAATCCCACTGGGGACTTTGGCTTTAGCAGCCATGAGGGAAGTGCAAAGGCACCTCGGATGCCATGCATTGTACACGTGCCATAGGTTGCTGACCCCTGATTTAGGCAATGAGAACTCAGATTAAAATAATAACAAACAATGATAAATACTCTGTAATATATGTACAATATAACCTCCTTTGGGTTACATTCTTTTGGATACATACAGCGATGAAGCTTGGCAGCAAAGTAACTGTTTTAGTTATGAAGAGCAGGAGACTATCATTGGACATTAGAGAATAGGAGGTCACAGGGAGCAAACTAGCCCAGCTTCAAAGTGAGGTTTACCTAGAGTTGGGCACTTGAGATTGGCCACTAAAGTCACATGAACTTTACTGAGTACAGAGTCTTCGAAACAATGGGAAAGGAAAGGAATGAGGTAATAATACTTTACTTTACTTTAAGTAGAGCAGTTTAGACAAAGTCTGTATGAATGAAGCAGTAGTATCCAGGATGATCCAAGAGCATGCTTCTGACTTGTAAGCTGAAGACTGTTACTGATATTATAAAAGGACATGGAGATGATCCGTGAGAGTAGACTTATGATTGCAGCCATGGAGGCAAAGTCAGGCAGGCCCAGCCGTGCAACCGGTTCGGCGTGGGGGAATAGGTGATTAAAATTACCTTATTACTGAGATCAGAGGCGGTCGATCACCTAAACAGCCACTTCAGGACTATAGTGTCAGGAATACATGTTTGCATATTCCTATAGTGTTCCTTTAAAACCAATACTATATTTTCTCACCATTTGTACCTATAGCTGAGTTAATACTTTATCGTACTCCACAAATATTAGAACTGGCTTGTGTAGATAATTGATGGTAGTTGTTGGTGCATGCAATGTATTTTAGCGAGGTGAGGAATATGAGACTTTTTCAGAACATAACTTTTCTGAAGCAGCAGACGTGAGTGCAGTTTCTGGATTCAGCAGAATATAGTTACAGTTACATAACTGAAAAGAGACCTGCATCCATCAAGTTCAGCCTTCCTCACATTTGTTTTTTGCTGTTGATCCAAAAGAAGGCAAAAAAAAAAAACAGTTTGAAGCACTTCCAATTTTGCAACAAGCTAGGAAAAAAATTCTTTCTTGACCCCAGAATGGCAGTCAGATTTATCCTTGGATCAAGCAGTTATTACCCTACATTGAAAGATTATATCCTTGAATATTCTGTTTTGCAAGTATGCATCTAGTAGCTGTTTGAACATCCGTATGGACTCTGATAAAACCACTTCTTCAGGCAGAGAATTCCACATCCTTATTGTTCTTTCAGTAAAAAAAACTTTCGTTTGCCTTAGACGAAAGAATATGAAAGAATGATGTTGATCTTATTGGAAGGTTGTGTTGTGTGTTTGAGGGGTGACTGTGTGTGTAGGAGGTTGACTGTGTGTGCATAAGGGTGAGTCTGAAAGGGTGAGTGTATGGGGTGTGTTGGGAGCTGACCATGTTGGGGGTGAATAGATATGTATGGGGAGGCTATGTCTCTCTGTCCCGCCTCCCCACACAGTGTAGTGCAGGGTTTTTTGTAACCTCCTCCTCCTCTTTCGGGTATATAGGAGGGCAATAATCCCATTGTGGTGCAATGGGCTCCCTCGTGGGCTGTTAGGCAGGTCTGCACCTCCCGCTGCGTGCAGACCTCTTCCAGTCTCTGACTAGGTTGGAGCATCAGCAGAGATTAGTACCCAGCCAGCAGTGCAGTGCTGGGCAGGGAGATCTCAGCACAGCCAGCGCAATAAGATTAGTGCTATCTCTGCTGTCTGAGAAGCAATTGAAAACAAAATGGGATTGTTTATACATACATAGTATTAATGCTATAGGAATACTTTGTGAATAGTCTTTATGCCCCCTAACACTAAACATCCCCTAACCTTAACCAAATAACCTTAAACATTCTACCTAACCTAGCACCATATTTTAAAAGGTCTGTAAGGAAACTGCACTATTTAGAATGAAGAGCCAGTTCAATGAAAACAAAACTTTACCTTAAAAAAAGTAATGTAAGATACATAGCAAATGTTAAGACCCTTAACCTTATTGTGATAAGATGCCCATTTTCAATTTATTTTTAAATGATTGTAACTTGGGCTGCATTAGTCATTGAGTTATTTGCTAAATTTCATTTTCTTGTGGTGTTTCTTTAAGTAGTCAATCACTACATATTATTTAATTTGCTTCACGATAGATTGCTTTAAGTTTATTTTATTATTTTCCAAAAATGTCTAAATAAAACAAAATAACAAAGTAACTACTATTGTTTCAACATTTAAAATTTAAAGTATGGGGGGACAGAGCTGACTGGGGATCTATGCAGAAATGTATATTTGAGCTCTGTACTCAAGCATTTGAATTGCCAAGATTATTGCTTCATATCAGACACCAAATCACCTTTATCTCCAAATGAAGACGCAAACCAAGAAAAACCAACCAGTTACATGGCCAAGATCCCAAAATATTGGAGGTTTTATTCACGGCAGCCTACCTTGTGCAGCATCCAAAATGGTAGCTTAATGGGATGAGGACTCTCCTTTTCAGAAGAATCCTCTATGGATAAGATGGATGACATCCCAAGCAAAGGTGGGCTGCTTCAGGGAATCAATCACACCTGCAACCACAAGTGATATTAAGGCCATGTACTGTGGTATACATATGCTGTTCCAAATGGACCTGTTTATTATCTGAGAGGTGTTGAGCATGCACTTGAGCAGGATCAAGGCAGTAGAGGAGGACATTCAAATATGGTGCTTGGTTCAAGCTCTACGGACCTCTTTAGGCTCTGTACAAGAGTATCTAAAGCACATGCCAATATTTGATGATAGAAGTCTGATAGGGTAAATTTCTGCTCGACTAAATCATTAGACTAACAGCTATGTAAATTGTAAGGCCCTCACATATGTAGTTTTGCACCTGACCATGCCAGAACATCACATACGTAGTCTTGGCACATTGTATTGTATTGTAATAAGACCCTATCCCTACACCTCCCTAGTAATGCCCCCTAGATACGTTTTATATTAATGATGGGTTATATGCTTTCACCAATGTTTTATGCTCAAGCTTTTTCATGACGTTTGTTAATAGTTGTCAATATTTGCTTGGTAATTAATGATACTATCCCTTGACTCCCTTTTATTGCATGTTATAAAATCTTTGTTCTGTTTAGTAAATATCAGACATGTCCCAAAATGACTCCCTTCTGTCGCCTAGTACTTGAAAGAGGGTTGCTCAGTCTCTATAGAGTTGTGAGACCATGGCACGTAATTCTGGTGATTACCAAAGACAGAAGTATGTTTGAACAAAGTCGATGTAGGTATATTAAAATTTGGTGCAGTCTATGGAGAAATTGGAAATTCCACACTTTCAATGCTGCCTTTTCCATCACCTTTTACCATCTAATCAGGCTATTATTACCCTGGATGGCTTTTTTAACTTGCACAAATCCACATGAGCCCATAGCTCCACTTCTGGGGATCTTATTGTAAATTTGTCTCTGCCTTCGATAAAATGGCAAATCTAGCGGCAGTGAGAGACACTTGTACTGTGGAATATGAACAATGTTGTCCAAGTCTACTTTGTTCTGAAGACAGTGCCTCCATCCAGTCACAAGCCTTCTAAAGACCAAGAACATGCCTCACGTCCAGGTTAGCCCAAGATTCCTGCAGATCACAGAGGATGGAACTGTGCACAAATTATATAAAATTTCCGATACAGCCATTTTTCTCAAAGCATTGAACATCCCACAAGCCAAAACTCATCTGCCTGTCCAGGCCACCATTCCACTGTATTGTTTACCTGCTGTTATATATGTAAAAAGTGGATGTTTTATGCTTTATGATTTAAGCTATGATTGTACTGCTCCAAATTATAAATAAAGAATTTGTTGTTGTTTTTTTTAAATGAAATAAAGAGACAAATGTAATATGCTAATATTTTAAATGAGAGGGATAGTTGAGAGAGAATGAAATAGATTTAAAAAAATGAATAATAATAAAAAAAATCTTAACAGATGTTAAACCATTACAAATTAAGAGACTATGCACCTCATACAATAAATAAACCAACATATCAAACTGTCCTCTTTAAATGCCTGTTGCTTGCATATATTATTGTATAAGCAACAAAACATTGAAAACAACAAATGCATTAAAAACATCACAGTGAACACTGTCATTAGATCGTCAAATCTCTGCTCCTGAGCACAGCAACACTAAGAGCAAAGGATTATGGGAGGACACTGGATTATGAGAGTACCATCTGTTACCACTGCTGTGTTGTCACAAAGTCACTAGTTAATAGGAAGGAAATGAAAAAAATGGTTCTTTTCAACAGGACAGATTATGTGTATTTATCGCAGAACCCATTTTACTAAAAAATTTTGCACCCACTTTTAAAGAATTGATGAAGTTCACACAAAATTATAATGGAAAATTGTTTCATACAATAAGGGATACTGTAAATAAGATGAAAGGTTCCAAACAAAACACACAGATACGTTATAGAGCACGATTTTGAGCTATGACACTTTATAAAGCCTAACCACTGCTTGCTGTTTGGTGCATCACATATTCTCTATCTACAATATGCAATGTGCCTGTAGGTGACAGCAAAGCTCTGCTCAGAATAGAAAACAGACTTCATAGGGAGAAGCTGATCCGACAATATATGATCATATACACCATATGGACAAAAGTATTGGGACTGGGACATACCTCTTGGTTATTGAATTCCGGTGTTTCAATCGGACCCATTGCCACAGGTGTATACAATCAAGCACCTAGCCATGCAGTCTGCATTTATAAACATTTGAGAAAAAAATGGGTCGTTCTGAAGAGAGTACTGTGTATGCCACCATTGCAATAAGTCATTTTGTGAGATTTAATCCCTGCCAGATATTCCATGGTCAGCTGTGCGGAGGGAGCTTCGTAGAATGGGTTTCCATGACCGAGCAGCTGCATGCAAGCCTCACAACACCAAGTACAATGCTAAGCGTTTGATCGAATCTTTCTCTGTTTGGAAGTCTGATCGGCAAGTCTGGTTAGGGTGGATGCAAGGAGAATGTTACCTGCCTGACTGCTTGGGTCCATGGCTGAGATCATCAGTCTTGATGATGTAAGCCAATCCAATACTTTCCCATAGAAAAGTACTGGGAGACTATTGTGCATGCGCAGCAAAACTCTGGAACTCTGTTCCAATGAGCAGCTCCCCATAGAGATGTATTGAACCCATGCACCTCAATGGGGAACATTCAGTGTCTCCATGCAGAGTGTGGAGATTCTGAACGCCAGTGCAGCACTGGACTATTAAGCACCTCTAGTGGTCGTCTGAGTGTCTGTCACTGAGTTTCTGTTACCAACCAGCAATGTAAACACTGCCTATTCGCTGAAAATGTAGTGTATATTGTGCTAATATTGCAGGGACAGAGTATAGGCACCAGAACCACTACATTAAGCTGTAATAGTTCTGGTGAGTATCCCTTCAACTCCTCTTAAAAAGTAAACACATCTTGTACCCCAATACTAAATTTACCCCATCCCTAATCCTAAACTCAATGATCCTAAACAGCCTTTAGGCCACAACTTTAACCCCTCTCAAGCTTTTAATCTTCTTAACATTAACCCTATGTAATTTATTTTTTAATTCAAATTTTTTATTGAGTGCATAAATCACAATATAAGTTTAAATAGTTACGGACCTAATCCAAGCATGTAAACACAAGGAAGAAAAAGCTATGCGTACAAGCTTAAATGCAACTCATTTTTTCTTTTTTAAACCTTTAAGGACGCAGGCAATTGTACAAGTTCAAAACGAAAAAAATCAAGGCAAAACCTGTAATATTCCTATTCAACCATTGTCTGTTCAACCATAATACACCTCTTTCATATTTCACTTATTATATATAATTTAGTTCAGGATAGACATTGCTTTCAATTTACATCAAATATTCAAAAACATAATTTAATATGAATAAAAAAAATTAAAAAGTGTGAGAAATGTTTTGAGGTTTTTTTTAGTTCTGGTGGCATTTTAATGGTAAATGTCATAATACTGTACCCATGTACAGGTTTTATTTAATTTTCCAGTTTATACACATTGAAATTTGCCAGACTGATTATGTTGCCTTTGAGACAGTATGGTACCCTATGAAAGAGAATTACCCCTATGATTGCATACCATTTGATAAGTAAACAGCCGAAGGTATCGCAAATGGGGTATGTCCAGTCTTTTTTAGTAGCCACTTAGTCACAAACACTAGCCAGAGATAGCGTTCATATTTGTGTGTGAAAAATGCAAAAAAACTAACTGTGGCCAGTGTATGTAACTAAGTTGCTAGTTATTCTTATTATATGTATTATTATTGTATTATTAAACTTTTACTAATTTTCTAAAACTTTCTTGCAGGCATTAGAGAGACTAGATTAGAGATCCTACCTGACAAAGGCTAGACGCCAAAATGTTGGGGTTTGATTATCTCCTGCTCTAGGTCAGTATACCTATGGTTACATTGATATATGGGTTTCAGGTTTGACCACTTTATAGTAGGTTTCATGTGGCTATGGATATGTTTTATATTGCGTGTATACCTGTACTGTATATTGCACTTTGTTTGTATGATTTTTACTGACTCATTGTATGAATAAAAATCTTTTTATGTGCAATTCATTTTGTTATGCTGACCTTGCCCTCACTCCAGCTCCTTGGCTGAGATGAAACTTGATAATCTCAGTCAATCCAATGCTTTCCCCTAGCATGGCAAAACTCAATCAATGCATCTCTATGAGGAATGCTCGGCACTTCCATGCAGAGCGTGGAGACACTGAACATCAGTGCTGCACATATGCTGTTAGACATAGCTGTCTGAGTGACTATCACTAGAGGTGTTACTAGGCAGTGTTTATGTTAAAAAGCCTGCAGGGATAGGCAGTAGACAGCAGAACAATTGCTTTAAGCTGGTATTGTTCTGTGACTATAATGTCCCTTTAACTCTGCATTTACACCGCTGCATACGCTTGATATACTCACAGATTCATACAATCTATTACAAGCAGAGCAGAATTAAGCACATACATACATTTATACATATGCAGATGTCAAATATGAATATGTTTTTAGGCCTGCAATTCCCAGTTAATAAATGCATTATAATGACTTATTCTGCCTTACTTTGGGGATGAAGAGCGGATTTTGGACAATGCTATGCTCCCAACTTTGTGGGAACAGTTTAGGGAAGGCCATTTTCTATTCCAGCATGACTGTGCCCCAGTGCACAAAGTAAGGTCCATAACAACATGGTGGGTTTAGTTTGGTGTGGAAGAACATGATTAACCCGCACAGAACCCTGATCCCAACCCCATCAAACATCTTTTGGGTGAACTGGAACAGAGATTGTGAACCAGACCTTCGCGTCCAACATCAGTGCTCTACTGGGTGAATGGCCAAAAATTCCCACAGAAACATTTCAAAATCTTGTGGAAAGCCTTCCCAGAAAAGTTGAAGCTGTTATAGCTGCAAAAAAAAGGACCAACTACATATTAATGTCTATATATTTAGAATGCAATGTCATAAAAGTCCCTGTTGGTGTAATGGTCAGGTGTCCAGTGGTGTAAATCTAAATTTGCTTCGATCTAAATTTGCTCTGCCCCTTCCTGTCAAGACCGCACCTCTTCCTGTTTAAGACCAACACGCAGTTTGACTGACAGACACCCACTGATACACTCACTCACTGGCACACACTCTCAGATACACATACAGTGACATACATTCACTGACAGACACACACTGACAGACACACACATTCATTCACTAAGAGACGCACAATGACAGTGAGGGAGTGGGTGACACAGTGACAGAGTTAGGGAGGGAGTGACTAGTGACAGAGAGAGGAATGGGGTGACTAGTGACAGTCACCCCCTCTCTCACTCTGTCACTAGTCACCCCCTCTCTCACTCTGTCATTAGTCACCCCCTCTCTCACTCTGTCACCAGTCATCCCTTCCTTCCCTCACTCTGTCACCAGTCACTCCTTCCTTCCTTCACAATGACAGAGTTAGGGAGGGAGTGACTAGTGACAGAGAGAGGGATGGGGTGACTAGTGACAGAGAGAGGGATGGGGTGACTAGTGACAGAGAGAAGGATGGGGTGACTAGTGACAGAGTGAGGAAGGGGGTGACTAGGGAGAGAGGGGGTGATTAGTGACAGAGTGAGGGAGGGGGTGACACAGTGACAGAGTTAGGGAGGGAGTGACTAGTGACAGAGAGAGGGATGGGGTGACTAGTGACAGTCACCCCCCCTCACTCTGTCACCAGTCATCCCCTCACTCTGTCACTAGTCACCCCTTCCCTCCCTCACTTTGCCACTAGTCATCTCTTCCCTCCCTCACTCTGCCACTAGTCACCCATTCCCTCACTCTGTCACTAGTCTCCCCCTCTCCTTCCCTCTGTCACTAGTCACCCACTCCCTCACTCTGTCACCAGTCACCCCCACTCACTGTGTCTCCCCCTCACTCTGCCACCACTCAACCCCTCCCTCCCTCACTCTGCCACCAGGTACCCCCTCACTCTGCCACCTGTCACAACCTCCTACACTCTTCCACCTGTCACCTTCTCCCTCACACACTCTGTCACCTGTCACATATGCATTCACACAGACACTATATACAATATACACTATATACATGCACAAGTGCATTCACACAGACTCAAATACAAACATGCATTGATACACTGGTCTTCACAATACACACATCCAAAGGAATGCCGTATTATGAATTATATTTAACATTTATTAAAATGCACATATATTTGGCCTTCAAAGGGCCTGGGATCTAATTTTGCCCGGGGGCCCCAAAGGCTCTCAGTCCGCCCCTGCTGACAGACACACACTGACAGGCACACACATTCACTCACAGACACACTCTCACAGACACCCTAATACGGACACACTCACACACATTGTCTAATACAAATTATATGTAATTTAATTTTAATCCACCCATCCTCCCTACCTTTAGAAGAGCTGGATTGGAATCTTCCCTGAGGTCCAGTGGGGCCGGCTGCTAATGGCTGGGCTGGCTCCTGCTGGTGGGCGGGCAGGCATGTAGGCACAGGTGGGCAGGCCAGTGGTCAGTCAGCTAATGTGGGCGGCAAGGAAGCACTGTGCTCTGAGCTCTTGCTGCTCAGCTGACGTCATATTCCGGCTCCCGGCATCACTACGGAGCTGAGCAGCAAGAGCTCAGAGGACAGTGCTCCCTCGCCACCTGCACTGTAAGCAGCTTGAACGCATCTGGGCGGCCCTGAGGTGGCCAGTCAGCCAGCTCTTGGGTCCCTATGAAAGAGGCTAACACTTGCCACCCCTCTGAAAGTGCCGCCCAAAGCAAATACCTTGTTAGTCTAGATCAGGCAGAGGCAACCTTCGGCACTCCATCTGTTTTGGACTGCACCTCCCATGATGCTTTGCCAGCATTATGGGTGTAAGAGTATTATGGGGGATGTAGTCCACAACATCTGGAGTGCTGAAGGTTGCTTGCCAATCCCTGGTCTAGTTAAAGATACAGCACTGCAGGTGTCCAAATTGATTTTGTCTATATAGTGTATTCCAGATACCTGTAAACAGATCAGGATAAAAGGAGTGAAGGACAGTCTCCTGGTAAATGTAAAATTTTGAAACTCTTCACGAAGACATTGCATATACGTATTTTAATAGGAAATGACCTGTATTTCTAAGCCCTGCTAGCAGATAAGACAGCCACAAGAAAAAAATGTTTTTGTTTTAAGTCTTTAACAGAACACTCTTGATAGTTTTAAATGTAAAAGCATGAAATGGAAAGAAGGGGCCATGTGGTATTCTCAGAGGTAGATATATTCTTGGTGGTAGTTGAATATATAAAGAGAAGAATACAGCACATTTCAGTGTAGTATATTCTATATTGGTTAATAAGATGTGCACTTGCACAGTGTAGAGTTTGAGTAGCTCAACTTTGTTGCCCTTGGGTGGTATAATCCGCGCCTAATGATGACTGGTCTCTTCTTCAGTAAAGTACTCAAGAGGTTAAAACCTTCAGGCAGAGACCTGGCAATGGTTGAGCTTGCATTGGTACTTCCCCCATAGTAACACATGTATAATACTTTCGTATGGGGTTTTACATGTCACTGGATGTTCTCATGCATAGAACCAAAAGTCAGCTAAAAACCTGGAAGTCCCTCTAGTGGCTGTCTGGTAGACTGCCACTAGAGGTTTAGTTAATCCACAAAGTTAATTATTGTAGTTTATTAAAAATTAAAACTTTAATAATTACCTGTGCCCGGTTAAAGGACCTGAGACTATGCACCTAGACCACTTAAATGCTTCCACACACACATAAACACTGCACCCCCTAACACACACACACCACTGCACCCCTCACACACTGCAAACCTCACACACATATACACACTGCACCCCTCATACATACACAGAGCATCCCTACACACACACTGCACCCCTACACACACACTGCCGCCCTCACAAACACACACTGCACCCCTCACACACACACAAAGCACCCCTCTCACACACACACTGCACCCCTAAAAAATACATATTGCACCACTCACACACTGCACTCCTATACACAACTATGCACCCCACACACAGCACTCCTCACAAACACTGTGTACACTGTGTGTATTCAGCAGTCTGTGTGTATTCAACAGTCTCTGTGTGTGTGTGTGTGTGTGTGTGTGTGCGCGTGTATTTATGATTAGCAGTCTCTGTGTGTGTATTTTGCAGTCTGTGTATTCAGCACTCTGTGTATTCAGCAGTCTGTATGTATTCAACAATCTGTGTGTGTATTCAGCAGTCTGTGTGTGTATTCAGCAGTCTGTGTGCATTCAGCATTTCTGTGTGTATTCAGTATTATGTCTGTGTATTCAGCCATCTGTGTGTATTCAGCAATCTGTGTGTGTGTGTGTTCAACAGTCTGTGTGTTCAGCAGTCTGTGTGTATGTATTCTGCTGTCTATGTCTTCAGCACTCTGTATGTGTGTGTATTTAACAGTCTCTATGTATTTAACAATCTGTGTGTGTATTCATCAGTCTGTGTGTGTGTATTCAGCAGTCTGTGTGCATTCAGCAGTTTAAGTGTGCATTCAGCATTATGTCTGGTATTCAGCAGTCTGTATGTACTCAGCAATCTGTGTGTGTATTCAGCAGTATGTGTGTGTGTTCTGCAGTCTGTGTATTCTGCACTATGTCTGTCTGTGTATTTAGCAGTCTGTATGTATTCAACAATCTGTCTGTCACGGGTGGCGGTACAAAAACCGGGACCCCTGAGTGCCTGATGATGAAGGAAGTCTCAGCATGGTCATGGACTATCGGGGCCTAGTGCAGGGTAACCACCTGAAACAAAAGGAATCATGGAAAAGGAACGGATGTGGCAACATAAAACAAACATTTAAAGGAATCCAAGAGACTGGGAATTCTAGGAACGGAATACAGGAATGAACACAGAAAACCCAGCATAAAGAAAACCAGACATAGAATAGAAAACCAGAAAAAACAAGAAAAACTAAACAAGAATTGTAAAAAGAGTACTGGATACCAGAAGCCATTGCCAGAATGATCCGAAGCTAGGAACAGGATGTGACACTGTCCCTAACCATAACCCTACACTATCTTAATTCAACACTAGCATTAACTCGATAACAGCATTAACCCTAACCTACCATTAAACCTTATATTACATTAACAATAATGTTATCCCTACCCCGTAATCAGCAGAGGTATTTCCCTAGCAAAACAGGAGACAGCGGTTTGTGGTCGCCATTTACTGGTTGATCTGTCTCTCATGCAGAAGCTCCTTTGCCAATCAAAATATGATTGGTGCTGGGCAGCTGGAAAATCCCAACAATCTGCAGGGGCATACAAGAAAACCATGGAGATCTCATTAGATTGCCGGAAGGCACAAGAATCGCTGATCAACCTGCTCACATCAGGTTCCAGATGAAATCCCATTTTAAGAGCTGTATGCTGTGCTCAAATGGAGTTCTGCATAGAGCTCATCCGTCAGTTTAGTGCTACTTAATATGTCCCAGCTGACAGAGGGTATTAATACCTGGGTCTCCCTGGTGTGAGCAGGGATTTTTTCCTGTTTGCGGATGACGGCATGGAATACCCTCACTTCATTAAGGGCTTAAAGCGGCACTGTCAATTAGAATAAGGGGGGACCCATTGTCCTCCTCTTGGCCCCTACCCCTGAGCAGCGGGTGGGCGCCCTAAATAACAATAAGGGGGGGACCTAGTTTCCCCCACCGGGCCCCACCCCTGATTGGCAGGTGGAGGCACTAAATTACAATAAGGGGGGGGGACCTATTGTCCTTCCCCCCAACCCCCACCCATGAGCTGCGGGTGGGGAACCTAAATGAAAATGTTAACCCCCCAGGTGACTAGGGGTCCCAAAGTCCCTATTCAACCCCCCCGCCCAAAAAAATAATTAATAAACCCCTACCTACCCCCCCCCCCTTACCCTAACAATAGTGAGGGGGGAACAAGAGTATTAAATACCCGTAAAAAATAAATAAAACCATACCATTTGATAGAGTAGGGAAATAAACTCAAATCATATTTAAGTTTAAAAGTGCTTAAATCAAACGATGCCCAGTGCCCATAATAAAGAAAAGAAAAAGAAAAGAATGCCTGACGCGCGTTTCGGTGCTTGTATGCTGCACCTTCGTCAGGGGCTCTATCTCTACTCTATCTCTTTGCTACTATGCCTGTCTAGATAGCTATACAGGGAGAGAGGCTTTATAAATAATACTGTCAGTTTATTTGAAACTGACTTTTTCATTTCATACTATTTACTCTCTGTTTTATCTGCAAATATTTCTACTCTGGATACGATTGTGCAGCAATCCTACATTGTTTGCTTGGTCTCTTTGTGACCACGATCAACAGCCCTATACTGTCTTTTACTTTAGGGACCTGATCCTTCATTGCTAAGTTAGCTAATTTGGGCGGCTCCACATTAGGTCTTTATGTACCCTGGACAGTTAGGGCTCGAGATCTAGTATTTTAGGAGATAGCACCCAGATGTTTACAAGGGTTAGAACAGAGATAGGGGTCACAGTTGGGATTGATATTTTCATTTAAGCTAGCCTTCTTATAAAGCTTTATCTCAGTATTTTATATCATATCCCTTTATTTATTTGTAAGTGACCTCTACCTGCTTCTACCTTGGATGCATAGTGGCATTAGTTATATTTGTATATACTTTATTTTTTCACTTATTTTATGGTCTCAATTTTGTTTTGGGTTAATTTAGCCATTATTAATATATTTTTTTCCTACTTGGCTATGTTTATATCCAGGTGATGCATATAGTCTCATGTCTTGACCTACATTGAGACTATTAGCATCTACTCCATTTCGGTTATTACCTATATTGGGGTTAAGCCCCTGGAGTCTCCCTGCGGTACATAGGACTGCGAGCTTAGACCGGCACTATTATCTTAGGATATAGTGCTTGGGTCTGCTCTCGCTGTCTTGTATTTGTTTTTGTCTCTTCATATTATCTAGCATATCATTAATCACTGAGATTGGTAGTGCATCTATTATTCTGTTCTTTAATCCAACTCTTTTTCTAAATATATCCCACCAACCTGGTAGATCTCTAATTATATGTGATTTGGATCTTGCCTCAGTTATAAAGTTTTTATTGCGATCTAAAATCCAGAATACAAAGGATAAATTCTCTACCCCTGTGCCGTCTTTCTCTATTGAATACCATTTTTCCTTTTATGCGGATGAATTCTGTGATAACATTATATGAAACAATCTACTGGCCTGATAACATTGATGGATCTCTGGGCAACTCAAACCTCCATCTTGTCTTAAACTGGCTAAATTTTTAATTTTTACTCTTGGTTTCTTTTCATCCCAGACAAATTTGTAAAAAGAGGCATGCAACATTAATAACCAGTTTTCGGGACAGTTAAGAGGGATCATTCTCCATGAATAGAGCCATTTTGGTAAGATATAGGCCCTTACTATATTGATTCTGCCCGACCACGAGAATCCCAACCCCCTTTTTTATTAGTTTGTTTTAATAAGGGTAAGAAATTAGCTTCTATTTCTAATTTCTTTTTATTCAGTATTTTCAATTTTATATGAAACCGTCGGTGTAGACACGCAGGTCCAGCATTGGTACATTTCAATGAATACTTTGAAATGTAGTGGGCTCAAAGAGCAACAGTGGTGGCGTGCAAGTCACCAAGTAACAATAAATAACATTTCCCGGTTGGACTCGCAGGTCCTATAGCGTGTAAGTTTGAATAGGCCATTCCCCTTAGTTTTTAGTTGCTATAGCCTTTCTGGGTCTCCAATTGTGGCAGGGGTGGTTCGTATCCTGCTTTATTACTATTAGCGTGTTGCTCCCTACCAAGTGGGAAAAGTCAGGGTGGTGTTTATGTCCTGCAGGTTCAGACCTAAGGTCTTCGTTGTCGGTGGGGTTGTTGTCTACTTTTCTGGCATGAGTGGTGGTTGTTTACTCTGTCGTGACTGTGTCTGCCAGCTGACTCTTATACCTTTGTAGTTGGTGTGTTAGCCCGGTCTCTCCCTTTCCTTTGCCTGACAGTGGACCCCTCTCTTGTTTCTCATTTTAGGGGTGCCCATCCGCCTAAGATCTCTTCTTCCTCCTATGCTCTCTACCGTGTCGCATCTCTGCCCGCGAGCCCTTACGGGGGGGGAAGGGAAGTAAATGGGGGAAGGGAGGGAAGGAGGGGATGGGGGGGTAGTAGTTTTTTTTTTTTTGGTTTTGTTAGTCCTTTGTCTCATCTGTTATCCTCAGCCAGTTCAACATGTCCTGGAAGTCCGCGCGAGCAGTAGTCAGAATCCAATGTGTCCAGATCGTCATATATGTCTGGGTCTTCCCCTCTGCCAGCAGGGAGAGCTCTTATAGTGCTCTCAGCTCCTCCATGCTCCTCTTTACTTAGTATTAGTAAATTTGTCTGAAAGACCAATTTAGGTCTTTCAGCCTTTTGGTATATAGCTCCCTGATACCATAGGAATTAGGGAGCTATCTACTAAGCTGCTGCAAGATGCAGCCGCTGCACAAAATGGATCGGAGTTTCATTCATTCAAATGAAATTCTGATACGAACAACTTCCCGAATTGCTTCCTAACATGAATGGAGAAACTGTTCTCATTCTGTAAGAACGCAATTCGGTAGTTTCGCTGGTGTTCTGTCTAAAATGACAGGACGTTCGGGAAATATGAATGAAGGCTTTGCGGGAACACGGAGGAAAGTTGAAAATTGTGGGGAAATTACTCTGACCACCGGAAATGAAACACACTTTGCTCCTCTGCTGGTCATAGCTGGTCAGGCGTAGGAAACCTCCATAAGACAAATATTCCCTACTTTGTCTTATGATTTTAAAGAAAACTAGAGCAGACAGGAAGAAATGAAGAACAGATCCTGACAGAGTGAGAGAAAAGGAATAGATTGGGGAAAGTTAAGCTCTGCATGACAGTGCCGCTTTAAGCCCGTAAGGAAGCCTATAGATCTGATAGGTTGAGTGGTACATTTGCCATGCAAACGACTGCTTCATCTATTTCCAGTACTGAACTCCAGGGTTTAGAATCTTTGGAAACAAAGGGTATACTTTCGAATTTTTAATTCGCAGAGTAGATTTTTTTTCCCCCTGATTAATTATCTCTTTAATAGTATGGTGAACCAGAGAGATCATTCTACTATGTCTTAAATATTTTAAACATCTGACTGATTCAAGAGTTTCACATATCTATCTAGCACAATGGTTATGGTCTTCCAGGTTATTTTCATCAGAAATTTCATCCAGGAATTTGGAATCTACTATTGAGTAAAATGAAACACTTTGGGCGTGTCATCTTCCCTCACCAAAGCCTTTTACATCCATACTTTAAGAGCCTTTTGAAATGTCTCCCTGGTCTGTCTCTCTGCTACTTACAATATGCATTTTGTACATGGTTTTTGCTTTCTGGAGGAATAGAGTTGGATCCTTTAGAGTAGTTTCATTTTTCTCTATATATTCTTGGAAAACGCTCCTATAAGTTACTAGGGCTGATGATATATTGTTCAATCATATAGTCACTCTTTTATACCCAGTTATAAGGAGAGCTTTTTTGCACACTTATGTCTTCTAGATTTGGAGTGTCTCAAAGAGCAGATACTAACATACACAAGTATTAAGTGAATGGCAACTCCTAAACATCTACCCTCAATACTCTGCCTGGTATGGACTTATAACAGGGAATTCTTTTAAGCAAAATCCCTCATAATAAATTAGTATGCTAAAAATGAACCTGGCTAATTTAGTACTGCCTGAGCAGGCTGTTTACTACGATTAGAGAGGTGTAACATCTTCTGGAAACACATGGGGGCCATCGAAGTGGCCAACAAAAAAAGAATAAAGAATAGGATAGAACTCCCCTATAATTCCCCTATAAGAATAGTATACCCCTCTTGAGATTGATTGTGCATAACACTATTACACAAAAAGCCAGAGTACTCCCTAATGTGCCTTCAAGGGCACCTATCAGCTAAATATTGAATTAAGCAATAAACTATCAATCTGTCACGTATCCATCCGCTTATAAAAATGTGGTTAATGGCATTTACTGTCTACACAGGAAAAGTTGTGCCGAGCAGCAACCAAATCCACAGAAGGGTTAATGCTGAGCAGCAATTATGCAAATGGGAACCTGGTAACTACCTTTGGGGTCAAAGGCCGGTTACAGCCTATCAGATCTAGAGGAGGGGTATTTAGGCCCTGTTCTCATCCTGTTCAGTACCCTGTCGTGATTTCCCTTGTGGTTGTCCGAGAACGCGTTCCTGATTCAAGTTTCTTCGGGTTTTTTACTTTGGCTTTGATTTTGACTTCCCTGTATTCTATATCCCTGACTTCTGGCTTTCTCTTATTGTTGTGTCTTTTTCTGTGTCCCCTGACCTCGGCAAGTATCCTGACTATTCTTTGGTCCGTTAAGTCCGGCCATTCTAAGGCCCAGTAATACGTTACCTATTAGTCATCTGTGTGACACAATTCTACGTGCTGGATCAACTAGTAATCCTGACACAATCACTAAATATCCCTAATCTCAACACGACAAGGACGTTTGCTGTGGAAAATAAATTCAAATACTGAAAGTGTATTAATACTAAGGAGAACAAGTGTAATCTATTCCCAGCCCCCACTATCCATGATTGGAAATCTGTTTAAATTAAAATGTATATATACATCTTGAACCTATACAATAAGGGGTTTGTTATATTTCTATAGTAACAATATCCCAGGCAGCTGATACATTCTAATTAGATTTAGATACTTTGTTTTGTTTCAGGTGACACTTATTTACAGCAACAAACTATCTCTGTGCTGTGTTGGGCTTGTAAATAGTACTTGATTCTTTAGTGCACAATTCTAGCTGTTTATTTTTTATATTTAAAATACCGTATATACTCATGTATAGTCTTAAACTTCATTTTAAAATGCAGAGTCGACTTATCCACGGGTCAGTGCTAGTTTAGATAGAATTTTGTACGACGTTCGGGAGTCGAACAGCGTTCGGGAGTCAAACGCACGGCAACGTTGACTCCCGAACGCTGTTCTCCTAGCTGGTCGGGAAGTCAAACAGGCAGGGTTACAAGTTTCAGCAGGGTTCGCAGGCTTGCGTAGCCGACTCAGAGATCCATGTTGTCGACGACCATATACCACTGCCTGCGTTCGGGAGACAAAGCATGCATTCGTAATGGCAGCCACCCAGGGAATGCTTGTTTGTGGTTAACAGCCAGGGATGGTCGGTGATTACAAGGTGTTAATAAGGGTGACCACACAGAGTCTGTTCGCTTTCCGAACAGAAGCCGAACAATTCCATTCGAATAACATACCCTCAACCTATCCACGAGTCATAGCATATTTCACAATTGTTGGTCAAAAAACCTGCACTCGACTTATACATGAGATCGACTTATAGATGGGTATATACGGTAGTTACAGTTGTTTTGTTTTTTCACATGATAATTTACTTATAAACAAAATCTAGGAAAGTTTTCACATCCATCTGTTACCACAAGACATGGGATGTATTTTGAGCCTTGGACTGGACAGAGACAAGTGAACTTTTTGGAAGCCTCTGTAGCCTATTTCCTAAATTTATTACAGATCTGGATAAAGAACTGAGTCTCAGCACCTTAATGGTTCAGGTGTCTGCTTTATTGGCCCTTACTAACATTAGATAGTAGCTGCTGCTGTTTCGCTTAATTTTCAACAATGCCTTATTTCATACAATCATGCTTTAGTAAATATTTTCTCATACATAATGGAGGTGGTAAACCAATCAATATGCTTATTAGCCACACTGTGTATAACCAATTTAATAAAACAAAAAAACAAAGGGCAGCTTTTGGAGAGTGATCTGAATTCTGAACATGATAACAGGACATTTTTGACATACTTATCGTGAACAAAATTCTAGGTCGGGGCGGAGCCTGAGCTCGGACCGGAGCGGTCGCCATCAGCACCAGCTCCGCAACTTTTCCTCCGAAAAACCACCTAAAACAAGCTGAGCCAGCATCACACAAGGGCTACTCACCCGAATATTTAGAGACCGCAACCCCAACACGCCATATGCCGTTCTTTCAAGCTACCAAAACGCCCAGGAAAAAAAGAAAAACCGGGGCCTACTGTACTGCCCAAAGCCTGGACCTGACGGCTCTGTTTGGTGCCTATACCCCGCCGGGCATAACTAAAGGGAAGCTGGCACAACAAGATCCAGCACCCGCCAAAATGGGACATAAGTCCCAAAAATCGCCCCCACATACCCCAGCAGGGGCAAGGAACATAGAGACAATGCTTCAACAGCAGCCACCATCTAAAATGGTGCCGTCCGGGACAAACAAGGCTGTGGAAACGCCGGAGGGCACCCCATTAACAGCACCACACTCACAGCATGTCCTGCCACAAAATTGACTTACCACAATGTCTGCAGGGGATGGCTCAGCTCCGGTCACCCAAAGGGACTTCCACAACCTGGTGGGAGAAATCAAACACCTCCTAGCAGCAAACGTAGCAGCCATACAGGCAGATATGCAGAAAGTCAGTGACAGAGTGCAAACAGCAGAGGGGGATATTGTTGACCTGCAACAAGGTATGAACACAGTACAAGAAACCATCCAACACATACAAATCATACAACAAGCCCTTTCCCTGCACAAAGCCGCACTGGATGACAGGTCCAGAAGAAACCACCTTAAGATAAGGGGCATTCCAGACATGGTAACTCCAGACGAACTCCCCCATTATGTGAGACGACTGGTCGCCACCATCCTACCGGCTGCACAAGCCAAACAAGTAACTCTAGACGGGACATATCGCCTACCTAAATCCAGCAG